TGCCCAACCTTCCTTCCGAGGAGTGGCTGGTGGGTTTGAACCGCCAGCCTTCTGGTTAGCAGTCAAGTGCTTTAGCCACTGTGCTACCAGAGCTCCTTCCCAACAGGTTTAGTAAGATTTAAATCATACTAACCAGTGGCTGGTGGTTTTAAACTGCCAGCCTTCTGGTTAGCAGTCAAATGCCTTAGGTACTACATCACCAGAGCTCCCACAATGATTATATGATTCTGATAATCTTAAGAGTGACAGTCACTCATGTATTGCTTTGATAGTCTACATAGAACGTTTTAGTAAGATGTAAATCACATACCGTACAATTTACCCACATGAAGTGTATAGTTTTGCGTATATCCAGAGTTGTACAGTCGTTGTCACAACACTTGTTAGAACACTTTCATCACCCAAGAAAGAAACCCAGTGCTCATTATCAGTCACACATCGTTTTCCCCAACACTGCATCCCAATCTCAGCAACCAGTCTACTTCCTGTCTCTGTAGATTTGCCTGGTCTGAACCTTTCATGTAAAGGGAATCATAAAGTATATGTTTTTGCTTTTATTGTTGTTGTTTTTGTGAGTGGGTCTTTCACTTGGTGTAATGTTTTCCAATATCATACATACTGTGGGAGGATCATTACTTCATTCCTATTTCTTGTTGAATAATATTCCAGCTCTGGTAGCGTCATGCCTGAGACACTTGACTGCTAACCAGAAGGCTGGTGGTTCAAACCCACCAGCCACCCCTCGGAAGGAAGATGGGGCAATCTACTTCCAGAGTGATACTGCCTCGGAAACCCAAGGAGGGGTCGCTATGAGTTGAGTCCAACTCCACGACAGTGAGTTGTTTTTTTTTTTTTTTTTTTAATTGGTTATACCATACATCATACCATGATGACTTTAACCATCATAACATTAGGAACTCTGGTGGCATAGTGCCTAAGGTATTTGACTGCTAACCAGAAGGCTGGCGTTTCAAACTCACCAGCCACTCCTTGGAAGGAAGACTAGGCAATCTACTTCCATAGTGATATTGCCTCGGAATCCCAAAGAGGGGTGGCTATGAGTCGGATCCGACACCATGGCAGTGGTTGCATTTGTTTATTATCATACCATTGGTTTATCCATTCATCAGTTGACAGACACTTAGGTTGTTTCCACCTTTTGGCTATTACATACAATGCTCTGTGAGCATTCCTGTACAAGTTTTTGTATGGATGTAGGTTTTCATTCTCTGGGGCGTACACCTAGGAGTAAAATTACTGGGCCATGTGGAAACTCTATTGATAGCCTTTCAAGCAACTGCCAGAATCATTTCTGAAGTGGATGCAACATCTTACACATCCACCAAAGGAGTATGAGGTTTCCACATTTTCACATCCTTTCCAACACTTGTTATTACCTGTCTTGTTTATTATAGCCATTCTAGTGGTGTAAACTGGGCAGTCCCTGGACTGTATTCATGAGTGCAGCTGCTAACCGAAAGTTGGAGGTTCGAGTCTACCCAGGCTTGAGGTTCCTTGGAAAAAAGGCCTGGTGATCTATGTCCAAAAAATCAAATATTGAAAACCCTATGGAGCAGTTCTTCCCTGATATGCATAGGGTTGCATGAGTCAGAATGGCAACTAGTGGCTGGTGGTATGTTGATGTGTTACCTCATCGTGGTTGTGGTTGGCATTTCCGTAAAGACTCATGACATCGAGCATCCTTCCATGTGCTTGAGGCCATTGTTACAGTTTTGCAGAAAGGTCTATTTAGATCCTTTGCCCATTCTTAAATTGTCTTTTTGAGATGGAGTTGTAAGGGTGCGTATGTGTTCTGGTTCCTATATGCTTATCAGATACATCATGTTAAAGAATTCTATCCTGCTCTCTGTTGTTGCTTGTTGTGTGCTGTCAAGTTGATTCCCACTTGCAGTGACGCTAGAGGATGAGTAGGACTCCTCCCCCCGGCTTTGCTCGGCTGGGATTTGTTATGGGATCAGATGGCCAGGTCTTTCCTCGCGGGAGTGGTTGGTGGGTTTGAATCACTGACCTTTGTCTCAGTTATCTTCTTCACTCTTTTCTTAGTGTCTCTTGATGCATGAATTTTTATTTGTTTATTTTCTTTTTGATGACACCTATGTCCTAGTTTACCCATTTTTGTTGTTGCTCATGCTTTTATTGTATCTAAGAAACCGTTTCTTAACCTTAACTCATGAAGATTTATATGAATGTGTTCTTCTAAGAGTCATATATTTTGCTCTGATGCACATAAGGCTGCATGAGTCAGAATCAGCTCTGATATATTTTGAGTTAATTTTTGTATATGGTGTGAGGAAGGAGTCCAACTTCACTCTTTTGTGTGTGGAAGTCCAGTTGTCCCAGGACAATTTGTTGAAGTGACAGTTCCTTCCCTTTGCAATTGTCCTGTCACCCTTGCCAGTTGGCCATACATATATGGATTCATCTGGGGACTCTCAGTTATTTTCCAATATATAATAATATCTCTATATTTATACTTCTGATAGTTTCAAACTGTTTTGACTGTAGTAGTTTTGTAGTAAGATTTGAAATAAGGAAGTATGAGGCGTCTGACTTTGTTATTTTTCAAAATAGTTTTGGCTGTTGTCACTCACTGACATGCAGTCGATTCTAACTCATAGAGACCCCATTGGGTTTCCAAGGCTGTACAGTTTTACAGGAGCAGACTGCCTCATCTTTTTTCCATGGAGTGGCTGATGGGTTTGAATCACTGACCTTTCTCTCAGACATCTTTTTCACTCTTTCCTTAGTGTCTCTTCATGCACCAGTTTTGTTTTGTTTATTTATTTATTTCATTTTGATGACACTTAGCTATTTACTAGTTTGCCTGTTTTTGTTTTTGCTCACGTTTTTATTGTATCTAAGAAACCAGTTTGGGACCTTTCAATTAGCAGCCACATGCCCTAACCACTATACCACCAGAGCTCCTTTGGCTATTCTAGGCACTTTGAATTTCCATAGGAACTATAGATTCAGCTTGTCAGTTTCTGCAAAGAAGTTAGCTAGGATTTTGGTTGGGATTGAACTGAATCTGCATATCAGTTTGGAGAGTATCAGTCGCTTAAGAATATTGAAATTTCTGATCCATTTATATGGGATGTCTTTTCATTTATTTAAGTCTTTTTACATTTCCTTCAAAAAATGTTCAGTAGTTTAAGTTTTTAAGTTTGTACTTCCTTGGTTAAGTCGATTTTTAAATATTTTATAATTGTTGATGTTATTGTAAATTAAATTGTTTTCTTAATTTCATTTTCAGATTGTTCATTACTAGTGGAGACAAATACAATTGGCTTTTGCACATTGCGCATCCTGCAACTATGATCAACTAGTTTAGTAGTTCTAATAATGTTTTAGTGGACCCTTTAGGATTTTCTATGTAAACTGTCATGTCATCTAAAAGTAGAGATAGCTTTACTTCTTTTACAGTATGGATGTCTTTGTTTCGTCATGTTGCCTAATTGCCCTGTCAGAGTCTCCAACACAATGTTGAATGAAAGTAGGGAGAGTGGACCTACTTGCCTTTTTCCTGACTTGGGAGAAAGCATTCAATCATTCACCATTAATTATGATTTTTTTTTTTTTTCAGATGCCCTTTATCCCATTGAGGATGTCCCTCCTATGCCTAATTTTTTTAATGGTTTCATCATTATGTTTTCTCAAATGCACTTTCTTCATCTATTGAGATGGTCATTTGTTTTTGGGCTTTATTCTGTTGATACACAGCAATGTAGGGGTATTCATGTTCAAAGCAGTGGAGTTGGGAGCTTTAGTTATACTTATGAAAATAAAATAATTTATTGTTTGAAAAATTACCAGTTTATCCCAAATGTCACACTAAAAGTCTTAAAAATCCTTCTCTGAATGTGTGTGTATGTGTGCACACACATGTATTTTATAGCAGGGATGCTGGACAACTGGGGGGCTATTTCTAAGGCTAGAAGATGGAGGAGCCCTTGTGAAAATTGATTTTTTTTTTTTTATTCATTCTATTTGAAGTCTGTCAAACCTATATTGAGCCTATTTCATTTGAAAGTTCTGAAAATCCACTTCAACTCTAATTTTTAATGTGGGGTGGCCTTTTCCTGTTCTGTTCTGTTTGTGGCTTTCACTCTCCCCAACCTATAGAGAAGAGGAAAGCCAACCTTCTGGACCAGCTGACCAACACCAGCGGGACCGTCATCGGCGTCACTTCCTGCATCGTGATCGTCCTGATCATCATCTCTGTCATTGTGCAGATCAAACAGCCTCGTAAGAAGTACATCCCGAGGAAGCTAGACTTTGACCAGACGGTGTTCCAGGAGGTGTTTGAACCTCCACATTATGAGCTCTGCACTCTCAGAGGGACTGGGGCTACCGCTGACTTTGCCGACGTGGCAGATGACTTTGAAAACTACCATAAACTGCGGAGGTCATCTTCCAAATGCGTCCATGACCATCACTGTGGATCACAGCTGCCCAGCACTAAAGGCGGTCACAGTAACCTCAGCACAAGAGATGCTTCTGTATTGACAGACATGCCCCCACAGCCCGTCAAACCCCTCATCCCACCCATGAACAGAAGGAACATCCTTGTCATGAAACACAACTACTCACAAGATGCGGCGGATGCCTGTGACATCGACGAGATCGAGGAGGTGCCCACCACGAGTCACAGGCTGTCCAGACACGACAAAGCCGTCCAGCGGTCAGTATCCATAGATTTCTTGATGACAACCATAACCTGAGGACTGAAATGTTTCCGGAATATCGTGTCCCATTTTCTCTTCATATTTTAGTTTCTTTTTATTAATCTTTTAAACCATGCTGTCTCTCTTGCTCTTCATCTTCTTTTTCCTTGTCAGTACTCTCATCACTCTTCCTAAACCCCACAGGTGTACGTGATGTGAATACGTATGTGAGCACACACACACAGACCAAAGATCTTTATTTCTATACACACATGATACATATCTCTACAAAAATTATAGATTTTAATTATGCATACAAATTCTTGTTGCTACTTGCCTTTTGCATTTTTTAAAAAGAGATCATGAGTGCCACTCCCACCTATATCTATAATCTTTTCATATATGAAATGATATTTGGAAACAATTGCCTTATCCACATGGTCAGCCCATCTTGCTGAGTAACTGTAATGTAAAAATAATGTATTTTGCAATAGAACATACTATATTTTTGGTATTAAAATGAAAATGCTTTTTTCTCACATATAACAGAAAACTTACATTAAAAATCACATAGGATGGCATGTATGGGAAAATATAAATCATTTACATTTAAATGCATCCACATTTAACAGAGAAGTTTGATTTATTTTCTTTGGAATGTATACAATAGTATCTGTGTTGTATTATGAACACTAAGTGATGAAAGTTTTAAGGAAAGAATATTTAAGTTAAAAAAAACCACATTATTTTAAATTTCAAAGATGTAGTCTACTGATGTTTTGTTTTGCATGTTTATTAACATTTACTTTGCTTTATAATTTCCCATACTTTCTCAATGCAACCTGAAAACCTAAACTATTTTTAGTTAACTTAATACATTTTGCATGTGGATGGGATGGGAAAATACATATTTCCTCAGTTTTTTTTTTTAAGTTTAGGAATTCTTTTAAGTAAATATTTGTGTGCATATATATATATATATATATGTGTGTGTTTTTTTTGTGTGTGCAAATATTACTTTGTTGAATGAAATAGCCGTAACATTCCAGGTTCTGCCTCATTGGGTCTCTAAGCAAACATGAATCTGAATACAACACCACTAGGGTCTAAAAAGAAAAATCAAGGTAAGCAAATGCCCTTGCTCTTCCTCCCCCTTTGTTGTATTCTGTTCTGTTTTGTTTGGTTGCAGTTGTCTAGTAGTTTCTAGGGAATATGCTGTTTATCCATTACTTCTGAAAATATACGTTTCATGACATTTCACAATTAGAAATATAATGAATTCCATGCTAATAATGTGATGGTTCTTAGCATAAATGTCTGGGAAATGAATCTTAATATTCCTATCATCAAGTACTACAGTAAAATATCATTTCAAAAGGCATCAATGTATTACATTTTAAAAGTAAACAAATAGAAAAATGAATGAACTCATCAACAAATTACCAGCAGGGACTCAAGAGTTTCAAAATCAAAAATATGAATATTCAGTTTTAATACAACTGAAGTCAATATGGGTTTAATATTATTTGTTGATTGAATGTGGCCATATTTGACCTGTAACTCACATGCTCAGTAATGGGTAGAACATATGCAGTGTCTGCACTTTTATTTTTGCATGAATGTTTCGCTTCTCATCAAAATCAAATGCAGCATGTCATGTCAGATGTCATGAGAAAAAAAGTGAATGGCTGATAATGTGAATCGTTTCATGCATACCAGTTGTCTCCATGTACATCTATTTTATCATAGGATATCATAAATTAGGCATAACTTTTTGTACTCGATAGTCTGTCTTATATCAGACTAATTTGTTTCCAATTAAATTTACTTGGCAGCTAATCTCTTCAAAACTCTTCAAGCCCATCAGTTATTCTTGAACTAGGTGAATGCATTTCCACACTCTGTCTTACTTGGTCAATGGATGTGTTTGTTTGCAGTGTTCATTGGGAGAAACTGTTTTTAACTGTGTTTCATTTTCAGAGAAGAACTGTTTATACAAACATGGGGACTGTGAAAAGGAAATTCTTTAGTGAATTGTGAAAAGTGGACACATTTCTAAATTCATTCCATGGCCTTTATCCAAACTTAAGAATCACAGACAGTTGTTATCCCTTCGGCAAGACGTCCCGCTGCGCAGTGACATGTTCATTTCGTAATTTGGTTGCTGGACACCAAGTGCTCCTTAGTTTCTTAATATGCTTTGAGATTTACTGGAAACTTGAAGAAGAAATTAGTTCCTGATTAAGACGACCCCAACTGTGTTTTTACTGTTGGTTCCACTTTTGTTTCTATGTTGTTTCGTGTCTTTGTTACATAATTGTACATTGCGTGATATGTGAAAAAAACACGATCATGGATGAACTTTGCATTACATGTGCATTGTTTTCATTATATAGACTGCTTGAGAATAGAGAGCTCCTGAGTGATAATGAACATGCTACCGCGAAAAGTGGAACTGTGGACCATGGGAACACCAGCTAGAGGTTTACGGACTATGAACACCTATTGTTGTATTGCAGTTAAATGCAGCAAAGAGTAACGAGTAAACTGACTAGATTGCAATAAGAGAAACCTCGTTTTTGGCCTTTCCTGTATACCCCAACACCCTCTTTTGTTTCCTATCAAAGGAAGATACCAAGTTTCAGAAACGGTTTGTGAAATCAGGTATTTTACCATCGGTACCCTACAACAGAAGTGTTTTTTGATGAAGCACTTAGCAATCTGAGTGAATTGACCATTTGAGAAAATACCCTGCATGTCAGTACTGGATATTTGAGTTGGAGAAATATCCTTTTTCTTAGACATTGTAAAAAGCATGCATCCTCCTGCTGTTACTCTTCCATTTCTTTATGTCATATGCTTGCCACTTGTAACTTTTTATATAAAGATCTATAAAAGTGTGTAATAATTTCCTAACTTAAGAGACATGTTTTCTTCTTTGCAGTACAAACAAACTGAGTTACGGAAGTACACACATTATATACACACTTCTACCTATTAGGTGACCAGATGTCCACAGTATTGAGGCTTACTTCCTCCATATTTGATTCCCTGAAGGCTTACACAATTATGTTCTAGTTTTGAAAGAGGAAAGCCTTTTTCAAGTGCTTTAAAATCATACGCCATTTTATGACCGAAATCATGTCCTTCTGAATTAATCTTACACTCAGGCCGACGTTGTGTTGTTGTTGTTAGGTGCTCCCACTCACAGTGGCACCATGTAAGATGGAATGAAATACTGCCTGGTCCTGTGCTGTCCTCACAATCACTGCTCAGCTGAGACCATCACTGTAGCTATGGTAGCAGTCCATCTCTTTAGAGTCTTTCCCTTTCACCCTATGCGTTACCAACCATGATGTCCCTCTCCAGAGGCCGGTCCCTACTGTCATAGGACCAAAGTACAAGAGACAAAGTCTCCTACGAATAACAGGCATACATATGACATGGAAAGTTTATTGATTTTGATTATATTTCTAATAAATAAAGTAAATTCTATAATTATTTAATTGCCACTGAATTATATGTACACTCTATAAAGTTTGATTTAGTTAGTGGGTATTCACTTTTTTGTTTGTAACATATTGAATGTGTAGTCTTAGTAAAGAAATTTTAGAAAACGGAAATACTACATATTCACTTACCAACATTTTCAAAATTGCTTAGTTCTGCAGGTGGGCTAAAAGAATTTTGCCTTTCAAATAACAAAACAGTCTGGATTCTCACAACCCAAACCTTGTAATTCAAACAGGTATTATACACTAAATTTATTAATGACCACCATACCTCCCTGTTAGAAACCCAATTACACATATTAATAAACAAGTTGAAGGGAAATAAAATTTTATAATAGAAAAAATAGAGATGTATCAATTCTGAATACATATTGAATATGTCAATCTGCATAAATAATTACTCCATGAATTTGACAAACTGGTGAATTTTTAAAAATGCTTTCTTTCTGCATTTATAACTTGAATATGGTAAAGAAAAATTATTTTTTTCAATATTATGCTAATTATTTTAATATGTATTATTTGTGTTACCATTTACCATTTTTTATTTCGCCTGACTGGTTCCTTTATTTTCTGTGCTTACTTTTATGCCCTTTATTTCAAAGGTAATGCAGGCTAGACATTATTTTAGGAAATGATGGGTCATATTTTATGCTACCTTCTCTATTTAGAAGAAGCTCTGGTGGCTAGTGGTTAAAGCGTTCCACTGCTAACCAAAAGGTTGGCTGTTTGAACCCACCCGCTGCTTTGTGGGAGAAAGATGTGGAAGTCTGCTTCCATAAAGATGGACAGCCTTGGAAACCCAATGGGGCAGTTTCATTCCATCCTCTAGGGGCGCTGTGCGTTGGAATCAACTACAGCAGTGGGTGTGGTTTGGGCTTTGCTTCTGTAAAGATTGACAGCCTGAGAAACCCTGTGGGGCAGTTCCACTCTGTCCTCTCAGGGCATTGTGAGTCGGAATCGACTACAGCAGTGGATTTGGTTTGGATTCTTGGTCTCTATTTAGCAGTTGGCATGGGACCCTTCACACTTTGAACAGGGTAATGTCAGACTTTTTGCTTATAACAGCAAGAAAAGACAGGAAAGTAAATTAGGCAAACCATTCCCACCTTACTCACCTTGTCACCCACAAGGTGTTGGGGCCCTCCCGTTCCCCCCAGATATTCGGAATGCCTCCAATCTGCTGCTTCTCTGCTTAGGGGAGATTTGCACCACACATTCACAAATGATTTTCTTTTTTTTTTTTTTTTTTTAACACATCAAACTAAAACAAAGTCTAATGATAAGGAGGAGTAGGTTCCATAGTTCGATACCCAGCATCCCACTGATAGAAGGATTTTTCTAGTAAATACCAGGCCTCCTGAATGGTAACACTGAAAACACTTGACAATATGTCGTGGAACGCTGACTCATCAGGAAAGAAGATAGCACTGGTGACACACCATTGTCCCCGTGAATAACTGTGGATTCTCGCTCTTGGGAGTGTGTGCTCCTGGGAATGGCTATTTAAAAGCCAGTGTTAAAACTATCAAAAGAGTCAATATTCACAGTCCCTGGCTACAGCAGACCTCTCACCTGAATACCAGCTTTTGGCCCGCACTGGAATGGGGAGATGCATGTAGGGAAGGGATGAGTTGTTCATGACTTTTCAATGAAGTTATTTTAAGAATTCTATTGATTTGAGAAAGTGGATTCACATATTACTAATGCAGTGCTCTATGAATTGGATAAATTGCTCTCAAATAATGTTCTAAGTTAATGCACAATGTTCACTTAATACAAGCTATTTCCATGTTGTCTATCCAAGTTTGAATTCACTTTTCAGTATCTTGAAGGCACACCCTAATTACATGCAACATCTTTTTGAAGTCCTCAATGAGCTTTTTACTTCTGTCCGAGAGCATCCTCATTGCCGAACTCGAGCTTAGTGTGCTGATTTGAAAATCAGGGGGTTTGGTTCCTGATTTATGCACAGGCTGTTTGCATGCACCATCTTGTAAAACAGACATGTGCTGTTTGAGTCGCCATAATGCGCTTCCATTTCATTAGCTGATTGAAATGGGGCCGTATACATAATCGGAGATTAATGTCTTTGGGATTTTAATGGAAAATGACCCACGTTGTGGAGACGCTGACTTCTCTGCTTTTTTTTCTATTAAAATATTGCAGTGGGTTCAACAGACTCCCTCAGATTGACTCTCAGTAAGATAAAGTGAGGTCTTTGACTCTTGTAAACTCACACTATTCTGAATTTTCCCTTAGGAATGTGGGTGTTCTTCAAATTATAAACCTTTTTCAAAAATTCCATGATTGAGGATACCTTGACCTCACAATATCATAAATCACAAAATATGACGTGTTTCCTGCTACATTTGTTAAAGTAATCACAAATAAGGTGTTGATGTTTGGAGGTGAAGCAGGTAATAGCTTTATCTTTTGATGAATTGTATACAGTTCAATGATGAAAACAAATCCTGCGGATTTCAGATCTGGAGGGAGGTTTCAGGTTTCTGAATCCTGAACAGATATGATTTGAACATTGAAGGGAAGCTTCGTCTGTCTTCACTGACACTAGTCAGTGTCTCTCTCCTGTTTCCCTGACCAACCATTTCCCTGTTTCTCTTCTCTTTGCTCCTTTCTATCAAGGTGCTGGGACACCTGGTCCAGCTATTATTTGTTAAATAAATGAAAGAATAGAGGAAATAGGGCTTGAGCTAATTCTTCATTCTTACATATTAATTGTTATATCCTCTGTCCTCCTTTAAGGTTCAGTCAACTAGCAAAATAAAAAATATATTGGTGACATAGCCATGGATGTGTTTTATAGACCATCCTATCCCATAACTCTGGGATGACTTGATTATCTTTGTTAGTGTTTAATTAATGAATCTCTGTTCATTGCACTGGGGATTTCTTTAAGTGGTTTACACCACTGAAGAAGTCAAACAAGGCTAATAAAAGGAACAGATAAGGGAGACTGGGGGTAGGCACTCATAGCACCTTATATTTCTGCTTGTAGCTTCTGGTTCCTTCCTTTCTTGTGTGTAATCAGCAAAGCAGGTGCCCTCTTAATTGCCCTGCATTCCTCAGAGATAGCAGTAATAAACCCAACCTGACCCAGATTCTGCCGTTCCGGGGTGAGTGTACACCATGCCCTTATTCCTGCACTGCCCTGATGGTACAGTCGAGATACACCATTGTCATTACATAGTCAGCATGTTCCTATTTGTCCCCAATTAACTACCATGTCCCCAGCCTCCTAAACATGCCATTACACAGTGATTGGTTCTTTGTAAATTTCTTTCTTATTCCCTCCTTTTCATAGTCATAGATACAGATGTAAAATTTCAATGTGATCAGAAAACATAATGTATAAAGCAGTCAACATAAAGTGATCTTTTTTTTTAATCACATTATGAATTTCTTTTTTCAGTTTCTCAGGAGTTAAGTTCAACATCAGTCTAGCCAACCTTTTCTGAGGCTGCACTATGAATATGCCAGGCTTCTCCTTGCGGGATGAAAAAGCCAAGGGTGGTCTAGTGAGGCTATCTTACATTTTAGAGGGAAAATGTGTTGAGGAGGTGGAAAAGAAAAGTAAAGCCCAAGATTATTGGCTAAGTTGACCATCTTGAAAAACTAATTAGCTATACAGCTTTGTTTACCTCATTCATAATATTGTATGGATGGTAAAACATATTCAATAGAAAAGAGAATACCATGCAGAGTATATGTTTTAGGATCAAGAAGTAGTGGCATAAAGCTGGGTATAAAAATAATCATCTTCTGGAGATCAAAGGAAGCTTCATGAGTAGTTGACCTTCTAAACAAGACAAGCCTTGAAGGATTGAGACCATTGCTGAATTAAGTGAAGGAAAGGGGGTTCTACTTCGAAGAGTTAGAGCAGAGTGTAATTTTGAAAGGCAATTGTTCTGAGGTGGCTGAGTCAATAAGATGCATGACTCATGGAGAGGAAGAGTAACAGTAAACATCATTGAAAGTGTAAGTTGGAGTTTATGTCATGACATCTGAGTGCTTGAGTGCCATCCGAAGGACTTACCTTTTATTCTAATGAGAATAATTAGTGTCTTAGCAAAATGTGGATTAAGAGTTGACCCTTAAGTGGAATCAAGTAAATGAGACTGGATAAAAAAAGGAAATCCAAACAGCCTGGGAACAAAAACTCAAAAAGTAACTGGTGGTTTGTTGAAGAAGCGTAACTGTTTGTCTTGTTTCTGCAGACTTTATAGTTGCAGGGTTATGGTTGCTAACTGGCAAGCACCATTCTGGATAGTTCTCAGGCTGCGTTTCCTTAGTCACCATGGTGGCTCTGGGAATAATGATAACAGATGCTGTTGTTGTTACTTCATTTTACAGATGAAGACACTGAGGAGAGTTTCAATAACTTTTCTAAGATTTTACAAAAGAAGTAATGGGTCCAGCTGTGAGCCCAAGCTGACTCACCCCATGCCAGCCAGTGACCTCAGCCACCGTGCAGTGCACCCCTTTATTATTCAACAACATGGTATGCTCCACTGTGCAGTGCAACACTTCAGTGTTTAACATGATATGCTTCACTGACAGAAGTTGTTACTGATTATCCCATAGACTTGTGCTTCCTCCTCTGTAAAAAACATGTCTAGCACCTTCCCTCACCTTACA